AAGATGTTATGAAGCTCACTTGAAGTCTTGGAAGTCCATTTAGCCTGATTAAAGTCAAAACCCTAGTTTTGGATGCACTGCTTAGGAGGTGCATTGTCTGAGGGAATTGTCAACTCTTCTGACCAATTGTGAATTTTGTGAACCTTGTGAACCTTCTTGGAACACAAAGTCTTGTATTGTGAGGGCAAATTTTGGGGTGCAACACACATCAACAGGTCCTTCGCCAGTTGAGTGAAGAAAGCTTCAAACTCAATAAAATATTTGGCCATAGGGGGAGGCACGTTAAAAAGGGAAAGTTCATCCAAGATTTTAAAAACATCGCAGGCCACAACTGACTCTTATGCCACCGCGTCTAGAAATTCTTCCTCAAACAGATACGTCTTCAATTGTTGAAGTTTTAGTTTGAACAGATCATCCATCTCTGGCTTAAGAGTGGTCGTCGAACTAGCAGGGGTGGAATCCATGGTCGACTGGCGAAGTTTGAGAAGAGCCTTCAAGGCTTCTGATGGATTGGATTCCTTCATAGCCCAGATTTCTGCCGGGGTGGGTAATTTTTCAACAGAAGGGCCACCTTCGGTTGAACCTCGAGGAGTCGAGGCACCTTTGATAACGGCTAGGATAATCACATGATTGTCTTTATCACCAATAGTCGTGTTATCTCCATCGGCCTCAACTGTGTGATCAACATAGTTGGTTTGTGCTGTTGGATTCTCCTCTGTTGATGTCCCCTGGAATTTGTCGACCTTCTGAGGGCTAAACAGAGGTGCCGAGTCAATAGGATTACCAACAGTCGTTGTGGCTTGATCAACATCTACATTAACAGATGTGTCGATCGTATTGTCCTGCATAGTACAACATAAAAAGACACCCATGTGGAAAAGGAAAATATATAATTTTTAGAGAAGGACAATAAAATACCTCAGCAGTATCTTGTGCCGAAGGGAGTTTGGTGGCTACAGTGGGGAAAACTTCAGTCAAGTTTCTAGGAACAACAGGCTTCACTGTCGAGGTGACCGTTCTCGAAAGGGTCCTCTTTGTAGAAACTTTTTATTTTTGACCAAGGGAGTGGCAAGCGGAGAGTCTGACGGATCAGAAATAAATACCCGAGATTGGGTACTTTCATCAGAAGTACCGCCTTCAGCAGACGGTGGTTTTTCAATGACCTAGATGAAAAACAGTGAGTAGACAAGGATAAACAAAATCAAATAAGCCTCCAAAGAGCAAGTAATACCTGAGGGTTGAGAGTTTTTGGTTTCTTCGCCACCCTAGTTGAGGTCGACGCTACAAGTGGCTCCCTTTTTCTACCCTGAAAGAGGGCAGACAGAATAAGATGGTGGCAATTAAAAGACAGAAGAAAAGTAAAGAAGGTACCTTTTTGGGATCCTCTGAGACACCATCTTTTGCAGGGTTTTCAACAGGAATAGAGATTGTTTTGCCAGGGGATTCATCCTCTAGAGCGGAAAAAGCGTCGAACACATTCTCTAGAAAAAGATCACGGTCGAAAATTTGATCTTGATATTCAGACCACCAAACATTGAAAGCTTCGATGGTGTAGAAAGATGGTTGAAAGGAGAACACTGGAAACTCAAGGTGCTGAGTCGACCTGGAAAATTTAAGACAACTCTTGTGACCTGCCAAGTTTAACCGTCGACCAGCCCACACGATACCAGAGGTGCGTTGCACCAAAGACTTCGACAACATTTGGCTTAAACCAAATTGTTAGGCCACCAGGTTGGGCTGATAATTCATAAAGCCAAATCCATTATTCCTCGTTTCGATTCTAAATGACAACATGGTAGGAGTCAGGAATGCCCGCCATACTGAATTCGACATGGCTGTTATCTGGGGCGAAGCACCAGGGAAATGGTTTCTAAACCACGACAGACCAAATCGTCGGTGCACGAAAGAGGCCATGTCGGGAACGAAGAAGTTCGCTTCAGCAAACATAGTGAGGTATTTTATAAAGAGAGTTTTGTTGGGGGGTTTCTTGTGTAGTCATTAAGGCAAGTCGAACGCCTTCGACTGGAAGATCCGTGTCGAGGCGCTTGATGGTAGCAGACACTGGATAACCCATTTGATGTTTAAAAGTGGCATTGAGCCAGTACTGCAACAACCACTTGGGCCCTAAGACGTTCAGGTATTTGAAGGTGTCGTGAAAAAGTTTTATTCTCAAGGCTGACAGGCCAAGAGAGTGGTATAGGGAAGACAACAACAATTTACCCAAGGAGACTTATCGACACTCGTGTATCTAGATTGCTAAGCTAATGTAACTCTTGGCTATTTGTAGTGAGGCAGGGCAGAAGAGATAGTAGGACAGCCAACGAGTCAGGAAGACAATATGCTCTTCGTTTGATACCTCAGCAGAACCTTTGTCGTGGTGATCTTCTATGTAGTTTTTGAAGCCATCCCTATCGAAGTCGAAAGTGGCATTCGTCTCCAAAGTTGGGTCGAACGTCTCACCCAGAGGGGAGAGACCCGTAATAGCCGCCACGTCGAAGAGATTTGGCGCCAACATGCCACAAGGGAATTGGAAGGTGTTGATCTAACCTTCCAAGAAAAATGTTGCAGCCAGCAAAAGACAAGGGTTGACCCTATGAGTATTTCGAGACAACTGGATGACGTCGAAGATGCCAGCCTTCTTCCATTATTCTTGGCATTTGTTTTGGACTTTGTTTAGCCATGAGAGGTAATCCTTATTACTTGCGGTGGGCATTGACCGAAAGACGCGAGCTTTGGGTGCCATGAACTTTAAGTCGAGAGTGCTTCCTTTCTGAAAAGTTGGGGGATGGTGGACAGAAAACAAGGGGAAAACGCCTGTAGCTCCTCGTGGCTAGGCTTAGTGGCAGGGTATGGCCCATGGAAAATATGTAGTTTTCCGACGACGGTGAAGGGGATGACCATCTGACGCCTCCATGTAGCCACCACCTTTTCGTCAGCCGACGTAGGATTTGGGAGATGCTTTAAGGAATCAGTCTCAGAAAGAACGAAGGTTATGTGATTATTCCCAATAGTGTGGGTTTTGGAGACGTTGGAAGAAGCCAATGAAACAAGAAGTAACGAACTTTGGAAGGTTGAAGACAAGGAAATTCTTTTAAAGAATAGAAATGAGATGAGAGTGGAGAAAGAGAAACAAAGGGACAAAAATGCAGTATTTATAGGCAATGTTGCATGCAAGGGAAGAGGCGAAACAATTGTGATTCTGAAAGTTAGTGGAGGTGGTTCAAAGACCCATGACGTTGGGATGTGACCAACATGATTAGCCGTGTCTTGGAAATCGTGGCGTAGAAAGGCGCCATCATTACTTCAGACTATAGATGACGCGTGGCGGAATCGACAGAAATCAATGATGATTTTTGTTGCGTCACACCCAAACACGGTCGAAATTCCATAGAACCAAAACGCTCAGTTTCTTGGTCGACAGAGTATCCCGTCGAAACTGGGTTTTGAGGGGGCATCTTGTTGACCGGAAGTTTCGACCAGAGAGCAGCGACGCAGAGATTGGTAGATAGGCTAAATAAACTATTGATGAAGAGGTCGACGTCGACAAGAGGAAGACTGTTGGGTCGACCCCGGATGGTGTCAGTCGACTGGGTCAACTAAGTTCTATGCAAATAGACATCTATTTGAGCGAGAAATGGATTTGAAATCCAAGGACGTGGGAAGTTATAGAAGTAGTGGGCGAACACGTGACATCACCAGATTCAACATGACAATTATTTGTTTCTCTATTTAAAGCAATGCATGTTTTGTTTTTAGAGGCGCGTTTTTGTAATACTGTAAGAAAAACACTCTGAATACCAAAGCGTTACGAGAAAAGAGTTGTCATTCCTATAAGATGTAAGATCACGTCTACATTTTCCTTTTTATAAGCAATTTATGTCATTAATTCTAAATGTGTTTGTGTCTTGTTTTTGCTCCTTTTACATAAAGTTATTTCTCATTCCTTAGTACACTTATCTAAGTTTTCAGTTTTACTTACAAATAATTTCTAGCATATTTCAAATAGACCACATTCCACCATTTTCTCATACATCACAAACCAAGTGTTCTGGGACTCGTTTGACTAGTCCCACCAGTAAACCTGCGTTAGGAGGTTAGAGGTTGTTCGAGCGAAAACTGCGTGCGAACACACCCTCACAAAGTGACAAAAGGATGTGGCAAAATAATCTTACTTGTAGTAGAGTCAGAGAAGGTCTTATACAACTCGCACTACAAATATAATCGTTGGTCTCTAAATTTTTGTGATAAACTGTGGATACACACCATAACCTGCACATATGTTTGTTTCAGGGACAATGGATTGAAGTCCTCTGACCATGAAAAAAGCTTAAGGAATCCGAGGTTTATGTTCCAAGAGTTAATAGATCTGACTTGTGTGACATTCTCTAAAGTAGAAAAAGAGAACTCGATGTAACTATTACCTAAAGATGTCATCCAACATTTGCTTATGGATTTCCCTAGAGTATGAGGAGTGTGGCCTTCAAGCGTGCAACTACCAACTCTCAAATAAATATTATTTTCAGAAATTACAATAGCCAACCTAACACTCTTGACACATAACAAAGAGAGTTGACTGAGTGAGATATTGCATATATTGTTGACTACTTATACTTATAATTTTTATTTAAATTTTAATAAATAAATATATTATTTCTAAAATAATTTAAATAGGTGTGACAAAACGTGCCCCACCCACTCGCCACTAGAAAAAAAATACTATAAATAAAATTTATTCAAAATTTATATTTATTTAAAAATAACTTAATATAAAAAAAATGACACGAGAATCATTGAATGTAGTAGTTGTTAGTACAGAAAAATGAAAAAATCCGTAGAAAAGCTTAATACTATAGAAAATGAAATGAAACATGTAGTCAAACTATAGCCATAAAAGTCAACATCATCACAAGGTATGAACAAAATCTTAAACTTCTTTATGTGTTGCTTCTTGTACTAAAACAAATTATATCATTCATGGTAATACTCTTTTGTTGAACCAGATGAAGATCAAGTATCTTCTGGTTGTTATGTGTTTCTGGATTTGGTTTATATCTTTGGCTTTTACTACTTCTGATGATGGCTTGATGAGAGTTACTCTAAAAAGGAGAAACTTGGACTCTGACAGTCTTGATTCTGCAAGAATCAAAGAGGCAATTCATCTCAGAGATTTAAAGAGTGTTGATAAAAATTATTCCCAAAAAGATTTTGTTGTGTATCTTAAGAATTACTTTGATGTACAATATTTTGGGGAAATTGGTATTGGTTCACCACCACAGTACTTCAATGTTGTTTTTGACACTGGTAGCTCCAATCTCTGGGTTCCTTCTTCCAAATGCATATTCTCAGTAAGTTACTCACTCATTTGATTATTGTACAATTGAACTAATACCTATAAAGTACAGACACCAGAAACATGATACTGGTTAGTGACACTAACACGTTGACATCAGTAGTAATTAGAAAAAATGAATATATTAAAGATAGTCATAAGTATCGGTATTGGTTATGAATACAGACACTGACATAGACACAAATTTTCTCAGAGGTGTAGGCGTTGTAGAGTTGAATAGTCTTTTAAGTTATGTGTTTGTGCCAGATATATCTTTAAGTTATGTGTTTACATGATTGATGCAGATTGCTTGCTATTTTCATTCCAAATATAGGTCAAAGATATCTAGCACATATAAAGAAATTGGTAACTTGGATTCACATAGCATTTAACCTAAAAATTATATGCTTTCTTTTTAAAGTGCCTCTATTTGGTTTCTTTTGGGATAATATTCAGGAATACCTTGTGAGATTTCTTATGATCAAGGATACATTTATGGATTCTTCAGCCAAGACAATGTAAAAGTTGGGGATATCATAATCAAGGATCAAGTAAGTATTCTGATTGAGTTGTATATCTTCTCAGAAAATGCCATTGATGATTGGTCGGTTTCATTCTACAGGAATTTTCGGAGATTACAAGGGAAGGAAATTTTGCACTTTCAGCTCTTCCATTTGACGGTATACTTGGTCTTGGATTTCAGGATATTTCAGTCGGAAGAGTCACACCAGTGTGGTAATACTGCACACATTATAACTTAGTTCATTTCACATTTTATTGATTTTTCAATGTCAATATGTGTCTGGTGTCTGTATTAATATTAATTATTCGTGTGATTAAATTTTGAACGGAACCGGGTAAAAAAAATGAAACATTCTATTTTCTGTAGTTTTTGATACCTCAAAAGTATAATTGATTAGTTTATTTTTTGGTGATACAGGTATAATATGATTGAACAAGAACAAGTATTGGACAAAGTTTTCTCTCTTTGGCTAAATAAAGATCCATCGGCGCAGATCGGGGGTGAGATTATCTTTGGTGGTATGGACAAGAGACATTTTAATGGTGACCACACTTACTTTCCAATTTCTCAAAAGGGTTATTGGCAGGTATTATTATTAAACAGAAATTCGTCAATGAGTATTATTATCAACCAGGTCATTCTTAACTTTCCGAGTTCGCACCTGCAGATTGAAGTGGGAGATATTCTACTTGCAAATGATACAACAGGTCCTTAAGCTTTCCGATTCGGCACAATGCCTAATCTATCTGCAAAGTCTTTTCATTCTTTCTTATAGTTGTTATGTGAGCTATGTTTGGTGTCCAACACATATTGGTTCTAGACACTAACACAACACAAACCAAAACATTGAATACATTTAATCGCTTTTGTTATTTAAAATTATTACCGATGTCATCATGTCAGTGTTGTGTCAAAAGCCTGCATACGTGTCATATTAGATTCAAATTTCCATGACCATTGATTGATTAAAAATTGTGTAAATATTTACAGGTTTATGCGATGGTGGATGTGCTGCAATAGTGGACTCAGGAACATCTTTAATTGCTGGTCCAACTGTATTCTCTCAATAATTATACTTCTATCTTGATATATTGTTTTGCTCTCTTTTCTATGAAGCACTGTCACAACCTTGACACCTCAACAATTGTAATAATTGAATATTTGTTGGTGTCGTGTGACTGTCGGACACTGAACACCCCTTCAATTCGAGTTCCTTTGGTGTCTTTTTTCATACTAGTTATTGTTTGCAGGGTGTTGTGACTCAAATTAACCGTGCCATTGGAACAGAAGGATATGTTAGTTTTGAGTGTAAAAACGTTGTCCATAACTACGGGAATTTGATATGGGAATCCTTGATTTCAGGAGTTTGTTCTCTTTCTCACTACGCACTTATATTCTTAACGATTAACCATCATCTTGCTTATCTCGGTATGTCACTTTTCTGCAGTTAAATCCTGAAATCGTATGTGTGGACATTGGACTCTGTTCAAATAATGAACTTCAAAGTTCGAAGTACGAATTTTCCATTTTCCTGATCTTGATTGATTTTGAGACACATTCTTTTGCTCCAGTTTATCTTAACAAAAGTCCAACTTTACCTCCAGCAATGTTATCGAAACAGTGGTGCATAACGAAAGTAGCTATGGATCGCAAACTAAGGAGAGCCTCTTTTGTAGTTTTTGCAATATGATTGTCCTTTGGATTCAAGTTCAGATTAAGCAAAGCAACGTAAAGGAAAAAGTATTAAAACACGTGGACGAGGTAAGGTTTAGCAAAATTAAAGGATAATATGAAGTTGAAAACTGGAAAATAGGATGTTGAAAACTCGAGTTGTTTCTGTGAAAGCTATGCGAGAGGCTCCCGAATCCGGTTGGACAATCATTTATAAACTGCAGCAGTGTCTCAGCTATGCCACACATTACATTCACAATAGGAAGCAAATTATTTCCTCTCTCTCCAGAGCAGGTATGAGTTCTATCCATATTTGATTAACAAAACTTAGTGTGGTTTCTATATGAAGACATTGAAAACAACATTTTTTCTTCTTGATTTTCAGTATATTCTAAAAGTTGATGATGATAAACATTGCTCTCCTGTGTGCTATAGTGGTTTTGTTGCACTAGATGTTCCTTCCCCACAGGGTCCCCTCTGGTAATATTTACTTATCATCATTTTCATAATTTGAAACAAAGACACTAGAAACACGACACCGACACTGACACGTCGGCACCACTAATAATTTGAAAAAAATAAATAAATTAAATATAATTACAAATGACGGTATCAGTTTTAGACACGGGCACACTTTTTTCAAAGGTGTTGGTGCTATAGAGATTAGATATCGTATGACAGTAGATAGTTTTATATATGGTGCAGGGTTTTTGGAGACGTTTTCTTGCAGGCATATCACACAGTGTTTGATTATGGTAATCTCCGTATAGGATTTGCAGAATCTGTATAGTCATTGGTGTTCATATGATTCATAGCTGTAAATAAATAAATGTATGTTGTGACGTATATATGAAGATCTTTTATTATTTCAAACTTGTTTCCGTACACAAGAGAGAGAGTTCTAAGAGAAATATAAGCTGACATTTTAGAGATATTAGTAGACAATTTAGATAACTGATGATAGTTGATCATTGATGATTGATAGCTAATAATTGATAGTTGATCATTGATGATTGATAGCTAATAATTGATAGTTGATAAGTTAATTTAAATATTTGATAAATTATTTGTTATATTGACTGATAAATATAAAATAACATAAAATGATAGATATTTCCGTGTCTTTTATCCGTTTTTTATCGCAATAATTCGTGTATATCTTTTATGAATTTTTTTAGTAAACATCTTATTAAAAATAAGTCTAAATTCAATAATAACAACCAAAAACAAAGTTATAAAACAAAATCTAAAATGTAAGACAAATTATTTTTTAAAGCATTAACCATCGAGTAACATCTTCAAAAGATAAACTAATTTAAGCAAGAATACATTTATACAAAATAAAAAATAAAAGAGGACAGAATGAAAAATTGAAATAGTAAAGAAAAAAATAAAAGAATAAAGTATGATTGTCCAGAAGATAAAGTCGTCAATTTCTTATTTACTTGTAAATTTTTTTCTCCTTTTTCTTATCTCTCTCTCACATCCGAAAAGAAGTACACTTAAAAACCATTTCATTCATACTAATCTAAATCGACCAACAAACCGCTAACCAAATAAGAAGTCGAAGCTTTTTTTTCACTCTACCTTTTAGGGAGAAAAGAAGCAAGTAAAGTTTGTGTCTGAAACATCCAGCTGATTTTGGCATGAAATTTCCAGCCATAAGAATATCTTGTCCCATACTTGTGACACCTTCCTACACTCGATAAATAGATGAGCAATGGTTTTGATCTCAACTAAACAGAATGGACATACCATATTATGAGTTCCAGAAATGATTCCTCTACTAGCCAAAGAAACTCTAGTTAGTAACTGATTCAATAGCAACCTCCAACCATTTATCAGAATTTTGTTTGGTGCATTTGTGATCCAAAATCTGTTCAACATCTGAATTATGTTGTCTTCGACATGCATAATATAACAAACAACAACAACAACAACAACCTGATAACAACTTTGTACCGAAAAGCCCAACTTGTTCCTTCACCAAACGAAAGTATCTTCAACTTGCGATTTCAACTGGATTTTCTGCAAAACGAACAATAGTGACTCCAATTCTTATTTTCTTCCACATGTAACAGCAAGTTCTCAGCAACTTTAACTTCCCAAATCCACCTATTTTCCTTCCAAAATCCCATGTCTTCCACTTTATGTTTTGTATGTTCCGCGCAAGCGTAAATGAGAGAAAATAAATTGTGAATCGGATCAAGACCCAACCATTTATTGCTCCAAAACTCTACAGAACTCCCATTATCCAATTTACATGAAATATTATTAGAAAACCAACTACCGTCTTCTTCTCGCGTGAAGCTAACTAGTGATAAATCTCTCCACCATAGTGTATCGACTTTGTTGAACGACTGCTTATTTTCATCAATAGTCTTCGTCTTGATATCTCCATATCTCATTGATAACAATTCATCCCAAATAACTTTAGGTTCGTCGAGAATGCACCACTTCCATTTGCTTAAGAGGGAAATATTAAACCTCTCGCAATGTTTGTGTTAGAACACATATTGGTTCTTATTATATCTCAATGTTTTGATGATAACATTAATGAAATTTTGTATAAGAAAATATATACTCTAATTTTGTTCAAGTGTTTTTTGTTTCAGATATCAAATAAATATTCATCTGAAGACAAAAAGAATTCCTCTAAACATAATTTAACGCAAAGCTCTGAGCGTAGAAAGCGCAGCACATAAGACTCTGAAGTACAACACAGCAGACTCTGAGCAAAGCTGCAAAAGACTCTAAAGTGTAGCTGCAGAAGACTTTGAAGCGCTACCTACAGAAGACTCTGAGCGCAGAGTATAAAGATTCAGAATATTCAGAAGACTCTGTGAGAACTTAACGCTGCAAGTACAGAGGCTCTGAGAATCAAGTCAACTCTGATCAAACATTCACGCTAAGCACTTTACTGCAAAACTCTGGATAGAGTGACTATGATAAAGAAGAACAAGGAACAACATCAGAGGATCTGATGCAAGATTATTATACATATATGTTCATTTGAAAAGACATTGTTCAAGAAAGATACGTTGCTAACCACTACCAACGGTACTATTTCTCATTCGTGTATGACACAGGAATTCAGGCAAAAAGGGAATGTTAAATCAAGACGAAAAGTATTTGTCCTTTCTATCTACATCCTACAGTATTTTCTTCTACACACTTTGAGAAAGTGGTGTATATAAAGAAGTCTCCATCAACACTTCAACTACAACAATTTACAAGAAACAATTCAAGAAGAATTTCAAAAGAAGAATTCCAAAGCAATCAAAGAAAATATTCAAACAACTTTCTACTTCAAACACATAAGTTTTATTTTGTTCTTCATTTGTGTAAAAATCACAGTTGTGATAATAGCTTTTTAGAATTATTTAAACACATTGTATTTTATCTATGTAAAAGTTCCTTGAGAGACCAAGTTGTGGTCAGGATTCTTGAGAAGACTAAGACAGTTGTCTTAGTGATATCACTGTAATCAGGTTTTGATTTAGTGGATTAAGTCTTCGTTTGAGAGAGGCGAAATCACCTTGGCCGGGTGGACTGGAGTAGTTTGAGTTCAAACGAACCAGGATAAAAATAACTTGTTATTTTCTATTGTCATAATTGTTTTTGAAAACCCTTATTCAACCCCCCCCCCCCCCCCCCCCTTCTAAGTGTTTTTCCTACCTTCAATTGGTATCAGAGCTCCGGCTCTGAAGTGCTATCACTTAACAGTGACAGAGAAAGATCCAGTTGGGAAAAATCTTGATCTATTATGGCTGAAACTTCAACTTCAAACAACAAATATGATGATAAAGATAGAATCGGCACCAAACCTCCCATATTTGGGTTGGTGTCAATTATTGAACCTACCTCTATGGATGAAGCTCTGCAAGACAATGATTGGATACTTGATATGCAAGAGGATTTAAATCAATTCACAAGGAATGATGTCTGGGATCTGGTTCCATGAACAAAAGGATTTAATATTATTGGAACGAAATGGGTTTACAAAAACAAGCTGAATGAGCAAGGTATTTATTACACAGAGACATATGCTCCTGTGGCAAGGTTAGAATCTATATGCTTACTTATTTCTTTTGCTACACAGAATAACATCACTCTGTATCAGATGGATGTTAAAAGTGCTTTCTTAAATGGCTTAATTGAAGAAGAAGTTTATGTTCATCAACCTCCTGGATTTGAAAATGAAAAATTTCCAAAACATGTTTTTAAATTAAAGAAATCACTCTATGGCTTAAAAAAAAGCTCCCAGAGCTTGGTATGAGAGGCTGAGTAATTTTATTCTGGAAAATAATTTTATCAGAGGAAAGGTTGATACAACTCTATTTCATAAATCAATTAAGAAAGACATTTTAATCTGTCAGATTTATGTAGATGATATTATTTTTGGAACAAAAAATATTACGCTTGGAAAGGAGTTTGTTGAGTCTATGCAAGAAGAATTTGAAATGAGCATGATGGGAGAACTCATATTCTTTATGGGAATTCAAGTAAATCAAACTCTAGAAGGCACTTACATACATCAGACAAAGTATGTAAAAGAGCTTATGAAGAAGTTCAACATGACAGAAAGTAAGTCAACTAAGACTCCAATGCATCCAACAAGCACTCTGGGAAAAGAAGAGGTAAGTAAAAAGGTAGATCAGAAGCTCTACAGAGGTATGATTGGTTCTCTTCTGTATTTGACTGCTTCTAGGCCTGATATTCTTTTCAGTGTTTGTCTTTGTGCTAGATTCCAATAAGATCCTAGAGAATCTCACTTAACAGCTGTTAAGAGAATTCTGAGGTATCTGAAAGGTACTACTAACGCGGGGTTGTGTTACAGAAGATCTGATGAATTTAAATTAGTTGGCTTCTGTGATGCTGATTATGCTGGAGACAGAGTTGGATATAAAAGTACTTCTGGAAGCTGTCAGTTTCTAGGAGGCAATCTGATCTCATGATACAGCAAGAAGCAACCCACAATAGCACTCTCAACTACAGAAGCAGAATATATTGTTGTTGCTGGTTGTAGTACACAAATGCTCTGGATGAAAAGTCAGCTAGAAGACTATCAGATATATGAGAGTAACATTTCTATCCTCTGTGATAACACTTCTGCTATTTGCCTCTCTAAAAATCCTATTTTACATTCTAAGGCAAAGCATATAGAAATTAAACATCATTTCATCAGAGACTATATTCAGAAGGTAATTTTAAGTTTAAATTTTGTTGATATAGACCATCAATGGGCTGATATTTTTACAAAACCCCTTGTTGAAGATAGATTTAAATTTATTCTGAAGAATATTAGTATGGATTTTTGTCCAGAATAAAACTATTATTCAAAAGCAAATTTATTCAGATGAAAAATGATTAATGTCTATATTCTGAAGTGTTGCATCTGTAATTTCATTTGTTACCTTATTTTTTTGTGAAACTCTGAACTAAAAAGCTTCAGAGGATCTGAGCGTTGTTTAACATTTCATATTCTAAAGAGATTTAAAGGCAAAACAAAAATCAAACATGTGTCACATGAAATCTGAAAAGGTGGAGTGTACAAAGTGAGACGCTGTTTGAGGTACTGTTTGAATTATTGCAATTCTCGTTTTCCCCCTACTTTTGTCAAATCTCATTAAATGCTTAAAAACATTCTGTTTTTTTTAATTAAATGTGATTAACTGCCGAGTGTTGGTTGTGTTTTTTTGTGCCCTAATTTTGTTCTCTATATATTCCACGATCTCACACTTTCACTCTCTCTCACACCTTTTATGCATTTTGGCCTTCTCCATTGTT